CCAGCTTCCAGCTGCTTCCGCGTTCGTTCCAGTGATGAAACCTCGTTCGCTATCATGAAATCACGCGAAAACCGCATCTAATCACCGGAAATCCAATCGCCGATGTTTGATAGATTAACTCTTTTAGGGGTAAAAGCGAAACTGTTTGTAAACTTTAGAAATCGCGCATTTATTATGCGATAAAATATATCTTTCATATTTAATATCTAATAAAATATATCTTTCATATCTATAATATTTATATACGCAATATTTTAATTTTTCTACATTACTCTTTTAAAATCATAAACGTCAAAGTTAATATTTCTGCAACAAATATTTATTATTTCTTGAAAGAAATAAAAAAAATAAATTATAAAAGATAGAAAAACTTTGAAAATCTAAAATCTTTTTCTCTCTACATTGTCAAAAATACCTGAAAAAAGAGTAAAGAGTTAAAGAAACGATGAAGCAATAATTGCGAACAATTATATATTTAACTGTATAACATTAAACAACATTTTTAAATAAAAGTTCATAATATTGGTTAAAATTTCAGCAAAATTACATATTAAGAAAATACAAAAAGTTGCGTGAAAATATGCATTTTCTTAAATTTTCACGCTGCAGTTTTTTGGCACGTATATAGGAAAATAAAACTCGGAATTTATGTTTGGAGAACATTTACTATTTCAATACATTTTCAAAGAGTAACTTTAAGTAATCGCGTGCTTTGAGAAGTTTCTCGAATCTTCGAAGAATTCGAAAAAAATATTTGAACGGAACGTTACGTGAAGGACTGCGAGCGTGCGCACACACAGAATGCTTCCCTTTCATTTACATCCGCCGGACGATCGACCTTGAGCAGTCCTGTCGAAATCGAAGAGTCCTGCTGAAGGCCAGCCTGAAATCCATTAATTTTTATGCGCCCGGAAACCATTTGCCGATCCCACGCGCACTTGGGCCGCACGCTCCACTGATAGCGGTATTTACGAGCCATGCAACTATTAATTATCTTTAAACGTTACCTGAACCTATCCCAACCCCATTCCAATTACCGTCAGGAACAAAGGAGCCGATATGCACTTCTCGGTAACGAAGATCGGGAATTTTATTTGTCACTCATGTTCGCACACATGTTACACAATCCCTCTTTACCTTACGATTTTGCATAATTAACAGTATGATTTGTATCACAAATGCAATTACAATTATCCTTACGTATACATATAATATATCGTATATAATATCGAAACGGTCTAAACGGTGGCGAAAGATTCGTGGCGCGTGGCTGCAAATTTCTGAAGTGAGGCTAAAACAGAAAGAAATCGCAAACGGCGGAAGACGCTTGTTTTCTGGGGAGCCATCGTGGATTCACGCTCGACCGAGGGGATAATCGATTGGCCATTCAGCGGAATTAGTTGATTGGGACAAGGTGGTCGATATATGTTGCGGCTCACGGTACAGAAACGCGCGTCGACACGTGGTACAGAGACTTATAGACAAGGGAGACACAAAGGATATTAAAAAAAGTGTCTTCTTTGCACCTCTTCTCCTCTGTCTCTCCCTTTTTCTTCTTTAAACTCGCTTCAAGTCGAGTCGATTCGCTCGTTTCTAGCCGTGAAGCATATCGTTGTTGTGTATTATTAGCCGTTATTTTATTGTTGGATTTATCGTCTTGCTCGAACAAGTAAACACAATTTGGAAGATGGGAGATCATTAAGAGAAACACTTTTAAGAGTCACGATCAAATGTTATTATAGGCTTTATTTTTCGCCATCTCATCGAGAAGCTTCTCGAAAAGAGAGCGATGATATACTCCGCAACTACATCACATTTTCTCCGCAACTAACGTTACAGCAAATATTAGCGGAAGTTACAAAAACTTCTCGCTCACTCCGACCAGATCTCCAGATGCGCGGCATACCGTGAATGATAAATTTTACTTCAAGGATAACACCCTCGTCATTGGCGAAGATAATGACCGGCGGGTCGCAGAAACGACAGCAGTACCCGTCGACCTGCACCCATATATACCTGCGGGCGCTTACAAAAGAGAGAAATCGTTCCTTTTCTCTACCTGGACGAACAAAGAGAGACCCCGTAACGGAATCAACCCTCAGCGAACCGATAATCCCGCCAGGCAATCGTATATGTTCGGCCGATTTTCGCAATCCCGATGCCGACTTTACGGACTTGCCTATATTTATATGCTAACAGCAATTTCGGCATTAATGAATCAAACATTCATTTCGCGAAACAATGGATGACAGTACTTCAAATCACTCGGTGGAGCTATACGACGCAATCCCCGGCAGGGGGTCGCAAGTTGATCGGCGAAGGACTCTTCAGCAGTCGACGATCAAAGAGCGCGATATTGCGTTCCCCGCGAGATTCAACAAATCGAAATTCAGATTGCCATTGTGAGATTGCGATGAAGAAGAAAGAGTTTGGATAACACGCGCGAGAAAACGAGCTAGACAAAACAGCGGTAAAGACGTAGGGTCGACTTGATCCTCGAAATCAGCGCAGAGAAACTGATGTGACTTTCGTTATAGCTTCAACTACTAGAAAACTCGAAAATAATCTCAACATTTATAACGACGCAGCAATTATCACGATTTTAATTTTCGGAAACTTGTATACCATAAAGTTTCGCAAAACTAATTATATATAAATTATTATATATCGAATTCTTCTGAAGTTAGGGCGGAATTTATTTGTCGTAAGAACGCAAAAAAAATTCTATAAAGGTATCCCACAACAATTACTTGCGACATTGTCATTTAGCGAAAAATGACGGGCGATTATTAATCTTAAAAGGTTGATTCTCGATAACAGCAAAATAAATGCAGTACACGCATAGCGCAAATTTCAATATTTTATTACAATTCCCAGCAAACACAGATTATACACGGAAAAAATAATTTTGCTGGATCCAGATCTGAAAATAATTTTTGTTCAATAATCAAAATACGTTTGTGGGAAAGTCAAAATAATTGCTAGAATATCAAAATGTTTTATAGCAATGCTTATCATTTTTAACATTTCAATAAAATTTTTTGACAATTCAACAAGAATTAATTTTCAGATCTGTATTCAGTAAAAGTTTTAGACCTTTCAACAAAATCGTTCTTCCCGTGTTACTGCAGTGTTGCCGCAACATTGTAACATTCCAGCTATATTGCAGAAATATTACAATGTTGCTGCAATATTGTAGTTATAATCTGTATTTGCTGGGTTACAAGACGAGAGTTAATGCTTTATTCTTGAACACAATAGCACAGTGTATCCAAATCTTAGTACTCATCAACGTCACTGAGCGGCGCCTCCACTCGCGGTCAATGACGCGCGTCTTCTGCTATCTACGCGCTATCCGGCATGGCGCGTATCGACCCCGATTACTCCAGCAACTCTCACTTCGAGTTGTCGCCGCCAAATACGACCGGTTCATCCCACTCGCTCGTACCAAAGAACTTACACGCGAAATACATCGGAACGTTGTGCGCATAAATCGATTTCGAATCAGTTCGTTCTAAGAGACTCGGAATAATTCGATAATTAAATTAATGATAAATTACATCTTCCTCGTTCACACTAATTGCAAACGATCGGAAAGCTCGTTGTGAATATAAAGGGAAGAGACAACGCAGAGAAATCCCCGCGCTTTTCCGAGAGAAGAGGGAGAGAAAGAAAGAACCATCGGCGTGGAGGCGATAGTGTGTACACACTTCCCTCACGCACGCGTCGTAAACCGCCTCCTCAACGAACGGTGCGCCTCCATGGTGGGGTACAGCCGGCGCGTAAAGGGGAAGCTAGGCCACTTGGTGGGGTACCATCATGATATCAAGTGGGGGTAGGTTGGGCGCGGCCTACGACGGGACCGCGCAGCGCGTGTTATAAAAATATAATATCAGTGCGCTCTCTTTCTCGCTAGATATCCCGCCCGATATATAAGTCATATACCGGATAGCGTGCGCGTTCTCCGGTTCCTCCCGCGTATCGCAGTGCACGCGTGTAACACGCGCACCGGCGAACGGCGAGTCCTACTCCGGCATTCATTGATCGCCACGATCGAATCTCGCTCCAGTGAACAGAGAAAAGAGTGGTGAGACGTACAGGGGGTGGGGAAACGAGAAAGAGAGAGAGAGAGAGAGAGAGGACGAGAGCCAGAGGAAGAGGGTGAGAGGGGACACCCCCACGTATCGCGGAGCAACGCCATTGACAGCGCGGTATTGCGTGGACCCGCGGAGTCGACCAGATACCGATACTGGATATCGGAGCATACGTAATCAGCGTGAACCAGCACGGCGCTAAGAGTTGTAGCGATCTTGCGCGCCACACGCACCACCGCGATTGATCCACGTGCGAGACAGTGACAAAGCCGCGTGCTTGGTGTGCTATAATAAGTGTGCATCGTCACCGAGTCCAGCGATCGGACGACACGCAACTCGGAATCGTCCCGGAATCGTCCCGACGGACGGCCAATCGCATTCGGGCCGGTCTACTACACTCAGTTGGTAAAAAAGCGAGAGCGACTCCGATACGTCGAGGGGATTCCTACGTCGGCCCAGAACGAGGGGGAGGGGGAGAGAGAGAGAGAAAGAGCGAGCGAGGAAGAGAGCGAGGGAGAAAAACGGAGAGAGACCGAACGGCCCGCTCCGAGGGAGAGAGGGTAGCGCCTAGAGAGAGAAAGACGCAGGAAGCGGACGCGTGCGGTGCGTGGTGATGAAGAAAGATAGAGGAACGCAGATAGAGCGAAGGGTAGGGAGGGGACGACTCGGTTAGAAGGCTAGGTATCGGGAGACGACGGGGAAAGCTAGTGCTTCACCACCCGCACGAGTTTCCCTTGGACATTCGTCCGAAGCAATTCGCGGCGTGTTTTCTTCCCTCTCCGAGTGCGAGTGAACTAGTTGGTGCCCATCGTCATACTTATCCTCGTCGTCGTGGGTTGTTATCATCGTTACTATCATCATCATCACCATCGTCGTCATCATCATCATCATCACCATCGTCGTCGTCGCCGTCGTCCTCGTTATCGTCGTCGTCGACTTGGTACAATCGTCATTTACCTGTGACGTAAATCGCGTCGTCACAGAGTCATCTAAGAAGAAGGGAGCGGCGTGCTCGAAGGAGGGAGTAAAACGCGGGACGGAAGTCGGAAGAGAGCCAAAGAGGATAGGAAGAGGGAGAGAGAGTGAGGAAGTGCGTGCGTCGTAATCGGCGAGGAGGAGAGAGATTTCGGCATCTCGACGAAATCATTCGCTGGGATATATCGTGTGTGTCGCCACGACACGTAACGCCGTGCCCGCTCCTCATTTCGGAGCGGATCCCGAGGAGGGCGTAAGGGCGAAAAGTGCACCAGTACCTTTTTTTCTACGCTTGTCTTCCCTCCCTCTCTCTCCGCACCTCGGTGGCGCGGGAGATCAGCCAGTGTTTTAGTGCCAGTGTTTAAAGTCTACCTCATGTCGGCGGTTTGCGGCCGATAAAGCATATTTAACAGAAAGCGAAAGAAAAAATAAATACGTGTGTATATATATATAGATATTAAATATATATATACATATATATATATTAAAATAATATATATCTATATATATATATATATATAGAAGGAGACAGGTGTAAGCGCGTAGTCTTTACGTTTTGTGCGTGAGTTCTGCGATAGAGAGCGAAGTTATTATCATAAATATGTCTCTGGATAAGTTCGCGGAAGGCAGTATGCTGCAGAAGGACATGGAGCGTCTGGATATTGGAGAGGAGAAGAATGGTGATAGTCCAAGGTAAAACCAAAGAATTACGTAGCGTTATTTCCTGTTGGCCGCCAACAGGTGTTACAACATTTCATCAGTAGACTGTATACGTTTATTGAGCTTTAAAATTATTATCTGTTTTGTGTATTCAGAAGGGTTTCCTTCTTAAAAGAGAAAATTGGCGCGTTTCAAGTAGAAATGAGTTTAGCGGAATATTATTTTGAAGCGAAACTGAATATTTTACGATCCGCTTTCGCACACGATTCAGGCATTTCACATGTACATATCAACATGTACATAACAACTTTGCGAACTTGCGAGAGAACTTGTGAGGGCAATAACACAAACATGAACGAATGTTGGAGGTCATTCAATAATGGTTAGTCATCTTGATTAGGAGTAATCGATAATTTTGTCGATAACAACCGTAATTTACTGAAGTTTGATATGATTACTTGGCACACGAAATTTCAGTGCGACTTCGACAAAAATATACGAAAATTTAATAATATACATGGAAAACTCCAGTTAACTCGATGCGGATCGGTGTGAGTTTTTGAGAGGGCTATTCACAATCCGCGATCGTCGGAAATACTAGCAGGCGAAATCAACGCGAAGTCGAAACTATACATTTCCGATTGGTCGATTGCGTCACGCCGCGATTGTTTGCGAATTCGCTTTTTAAGACGCGCGGCGATTATATAATATGACATGAGGTAAATTTCGGATATCAGTCGTTTCCGCGCCTTCATCGATTAAGTTCTCATCTCTTTATCGACTAAAGGACAATCTTCAAATCTATACTTACGAAGAATATACGAACGGTACATAGAACGAAATCGACGCGCGCGCGAGATATTCAATTTAATTAATTAATTGACTTAAATTAATAACTTAAAACAAAATAGAAAATAGATAGAAAAGAGGATTTTCTCTGTACTGTGAATGAACGGTTAATATTTCTTATGTATTAATAAAGCTATAAAAACTAGCGTTTTTTAGATAGTCGATTATACATTTATATATATGTATATATACATTTTTTTTTAAATGAGATCATTCATTTAAAAGAATACTGGTCGATCGAATACCAAGAGCGAAAGTTTGTTTCTTCGATGCTCTCGCTCAGTCCGCCTGCGGAGAACGTTTCAAATATACCTGCCGATTTACACGTCGCGAGACAAATATAATGGCACGCAGACGGCGAAATTATATCGCGATTCTGTCTCGACTAAGTCGAGTGTCGTCTAATCTCACGGCCGGCCAAGAATTACGTTCGCAGAGTCAACAACCTCCTCGATAAATATCGGCGATAACGTAAATCAAATTACGCACGCACGCGCTCCGTGCGCGGGCGTATCTCTCGTCATTACACCATTCGGCATGCCTACTCGGCAGGCATTCGCGCTTTCATGCCGTTGGATGGTCGCGATCGACTTCGAGTAACGGGAGATAAAAGTCGTTTCCATATTACTGAACATGATACGCAATCAGAGTCGCAATAATGTCGCGCGAATTCATGTGATTTACGTAGTTAAATATTATTTAAAGCCTATAAAAGAATCGATGTCACGGAAATGATGAGAGCCGTAAAGATGTTAAATGAATACAGGACAGGAATCATTATTTAATGAAGTTGTTCAAATTAACTCTCTCGCGTCACGAACAGCCATTATAGCGGCTTTCGCTATCTATCCATCATAAATATACACACATATATATATATATATATATATATATATATATATATGTTATATGTATATAGTTTGAACTATTCAACTATTATAATCGCTGGAAATATTTGTCGTTCAAAGGGCCACTGAGGTGGCACGCCGAAAATCTTCTCTGTGTTTGTGAAGACATTGCAATGACTCACCTAATTCATATAAAGTCACTAAACAAACTCATTAAAAGTAGTCTCTCTATCTATTTACGATAATTTGTACAATTGTGTTATCTTAGGCGATACGTCGTTCAACTTTCTTTTCGACTTCCAGAGAGGAAAAAGTTTTAAAAAGTGTTCAGATAGTGAAATTAGAGTTAACTAGTTTTGCTGTCCGCTTCCGTCGTGGCGCTAATAGCTTTGACTAAGAGCAGTTAATGTTATTACATGATTTGAAGACAAAATATCTCATACCGTTCTCTATTCTTCAGTCGCAGGAAAAAACTGGTTGTTGTCGTATATATCTCGTATACACATACATCATTCCAATATGTTGAAACGAATTATATAAAAAATTGATACAATATCAAAAATTATACAGCAATTAACAGGAATTAAAAATAATTTCTGAAAGTTCAATAGAATTATGGCTTAGGATTATAGCTTGATATATGTGAAAGAGAGTTCAATACGAGTTTTATCGATTAAAGGTTTCATTATCGAAATATTAATAATAAATCTAAGTATTAATTAATTAAATCAAACATTAGTATGCGCATAAAAATATTATTACTAAGCACCAAGATTGCATTTGGCGTTTCTCTCTTGTTGTTGAACTATAAATGCATCAATTATTATTCCATATAATAGAATTAATGTTATTTTAATGTTATATTAATATTGCTTTTGTTGATTTCTTGAGTAGAAAGATTTCATCATGAGAAATTAAGAAATTATGATCGATAGAAAGTAATATTCAATGTCGAGTCTGTTAACGATTAGTCAGTTTTCTCTTCTGCTTAAAGCCGGCCCTGGTCTTAGCGTTGCACGTGGCATGATTTCGTGGTTGTCCCTGAAACGGCGTCGCCATCAGTATGATGGACGTCACACGGACGGGAAACTCTTTTCAGCGAAGAGTTTATCACGTACGCATAATGTTTACTTATCACGTTATCGCCCGATCGGAATTTTTTAATCGGAAAAACTTGAACAGAGGCCGACCAAGAAGCGTAAAAATAAATTGATGAAGGTTAACGCGCTTTAGTTTTTCTTCGCAAAAGTTGTTCGAAATATTATAAGGAGAATTTTAAGAAGAAATTAGGTACGACCGTCTTTGACTTTTATAGCTTACAATTAGTAATCTTTAATCTGTTATGTAAAACCTTTTTGTGTTACAGAAAAATTTTAAATGTCACATGAATTGAGAAATCATTCTTTCGCATAAATATACATATATAAACTATTCGTACGTAAATTGTGTGAAAGATTTTAGTTTATAATAAATTTTAGGAATATAAATACTATATTAGAGATAGAGGGAAATAGATTTTCATACGCTTTCCATAAATGAAAAATATAGAAATTATATGGAAAGGTATATTGAAATTTAGACATAACGCACAACGAGTTCATTGTGTTTGCAATGGTAAGAATTTGCCGAAAATGGCGGCGATAGAACGAGGGGGACGGTATCGCGTACGTGACTTCAAGAATGACACCCCGTAAAGCGAAAACGCAGTATGACTCATTCGAGAAGGTGGGATAATAAAGAACAGGGACCAGGCAAGACTTTCCGTCGGAGTATATTTGTACATTTACATCTAGATCATATCGGCGGCTTTAATTTTGAATCGCGCCTCGTTCAGCTAATTAAAAATCGGTTTTTTTCTTTATAAAAATATTGGAGCACTCATAATTTTTGGGCTGTAGTTTCTGGATTATAAACTGGATTTGTAACGCATTTATTTCTAATTTTTATTAAAGTGATGATTACGGCGAATAAATTTCCCAGAAATAGAGAAAAATATTATTGTTTTACCATAATTACAACACACTTTGGTCTTGAAAATCGAACAGTTCTTTATTTATAACAAATATAAGTTTTTTATGAATCATTCGAAGGAAGTTATTATCACACGGGATATAACATTAAAAAAAGTAGCTTAAATTTCTGATGAGATAAAAAGAAAAATTAGGCTGCGCTTGTAATTCCTAACGGCGCCCATGTGCACCCACGTGGAGAACTCGCATCAGGTACACACCGTCCGTGCGCGTCCGCGTGACACGCACGAATTAGGGCCAGAAATAGTGCACCACACCGCGCACTGCGACGCGGCTTAAAAATAACGCGAGGAAATAGACCATATATGTACGCGTACGGTTTATTATGGCGAGGTCCGCACCGGAAACCGGCGGTAAATAAATAGGCGGAAGAAGCAAGGGCAAAGGTAGGAAGAAAGCGTCTCGCTTGGCGTTCTGTATTCGGAAACATCAGTTCAGAGCAAGAACTTATAAAAAACGTATGCTTGAAGAATCGAAAAAAATAAGTGCAAAAAAAAAATAAAGAAGTTTAATAAGAAATGGCGTTAGCGAAAAGAACAGCTCGGTAAATTGTCACCTTAATAATGTAAGAAAAATACAGAAACTAGTTCCGATGAAAATATATTTCTTCCTAGGAAGAAAAATATAAAGAAAATCGCAAATTTGGAACATTTAAAAAAGCAATAAAATGGGAGACCTCCGAAAATTGGTCAAAAGATCGGAATAGAATCAAGAAGGAAAAGCAGGCTAATTCCGATAATTGAACCGAAGAGAATTGAGAGATCGGAAAATTCTTCTACAGAACGGTCGAAAGGCAATTCACAAATTTCGATAATGTGCCAAAAAGATCGGCGCTGCGAGCGTTTACCTGGCGAACACGCGTGCGCGAAACCTACGACGTGTCACCGGCTACGGCTGATATTTTTCTAAGCGTGCCTGCTTACGTAATTTTCCATTACGTAAACGCGTGACGACACGCGCAATTACGTCGTGAATTCTTCTTTCACTTCGCAAGAGAGCGCGCGCATACGGGGAGACGCGAGCGAGTCCGATTCTTCAAGACGCGAGTCGCGACTCGCGGACTCCAAAAATATAATACAACGAAATACGGAGCAAAATGAAAGGTATATTCAAATCGTCACAGCTCCGTATACTCTGTTTTCCTCTCAACAGTGGACATTATCCCAAAATTTACAAATTAATATTTCAACATATAAATCCACGCAATATTTCATAGCGAAAATTGTTCTACGATCAAAATAGAGACTACCGTTGTACGAAATATCAAAGGTCAGCTTTCCCTTTTATTTCACAGCAAAAGCGCGTT